ACACACACACACACACACACACACACACACACACTCACACTCTCTCTCACATACACACACACACACCTCAGCGAGAGTGTAGAGTGGCTCAACGACGTCTTGCTCGATCTGGAGCTCAAACAGCAGAAGTTCTTGAGCGAGTCTGTCCTGCGTCTCTCCACAGATCTTCAGCATCATCCTACACACACACACACACACACACACACACACACACACACACACACAGAGAGAATAACATCCAGACCCTGAAAACGTATATTATCTCAGTGTTAAAGGTTCAGAGATGCTCTCTCACCCCAGCAGAGAATCGTCACCCAGAATCACAGCTCCTTCCACCAGACACTGAGCCAGAGACGTCAGAGGAAGCTTCTTCTGCTCACAAACAAAAGCACACATATCAGTAAATGCACACACTGTCCTAAAATTTATATAATAATATATACACATTTTTATGAGAGATAAAAAAAACAATTTCCAAAATAGGAGTAGTAGAGCCATCACAAATGTGATACTTTTAGTTTTTTGTTTTAATTGTAATAGTCATGAACACCGCAATGAAATAAATAAATAAATAGATAAATACTATTCAATCAAAAATTGTTAAGATTTAAAGAATATACATATTCTTTCAGACTGTTACTGAAAACTGTGCTTTATGCTGGATAGTATTTATTTATCCTCAGTTGTTCAGACTGCGGTAATTATAAATATATATATATATATATATATATATGTACTACCTTTAACTGATGTTGATTTTTTAACATTATTTTTATTGTCTGGATACACACAGACAGGTCATACTGAATTTCTTTGTTAAATTATAAAACATGCATACACTCATACACATAAAAGCAAACCACATAAACACACGTTTTTGCTTGCTTTTCAAATATATGTGTTTAAATCTCAAGAAAACATGCACAGACCACAGTTAAAAAATTGCTTGTGTTGCATTTATAAAACATGATATAAAAATGTTTTTTTAAACTAAGAAACTAATTTTAAATCTTAAAATTAAATATTAATTTTAATAATAAATATTTCATTTTAATAAATAGAATCAAAACAAATAAAAAAATGAGAACAGCAAATATTTTTTCAATGCAAACAATGAAGGTCAGTTCCACAAAACCAGTAAATGTATTAAATTAATTCATGTCAAGTCATGAATTACATTTATGACATTTCAGTGACAAACCTCGCTTCATTCTGAGACGTGCAGTTCAGTAAGAGAGTCAGATGTTCAGTATTCGCTCTCACTGATTCAGTGAGTTGATTCAGTAAATGATTCATCTGATTGATTAAAAAAAGTTACTCCTGAGCACAGGAATCGTTCTGAACAATGTATTAATGAATCATTTGTTCATGAATCGACTACACTGCTGGTTATTCAGCGTTATTTGTTGAATGAGCTTCATGACTTACTGAAGGCGAGCGGATGGACCGCTTGTCCACGTCCACACCCTGCTGACCCTGCAGACATGCCGTCAACTTCTTATGAGTGCTGTGAGACACCTGCTTAACCAGCTCCAGACGCTTCTCCACCTGCACACACACACACACTCAGATATGAACACACAACACACATACAAACACAAACACAAACACACACACACTCAGACATGAACACACAACACACATACAAACACAAACACACACACACACACACACACACTCAGATATGAACACACAACACACATACAAACACAAACACACACACACACGCACGTACGCGCACACACACACACGCACGCACGCACACACACACACACACACACACACACGC